TGAGCTGAAATCTAGAGTTGGACACTTAACCGAGTGAGCGACCCAGGAGCCCCTCTGATTAGAGTTTTTCCAAATAGAGTCTTCACAGAGCTTACAGAGCTCTATGAGAATTTTAAAATTTGATATTTTTATTTTAATGGTAATCTAAAAGCTTGTGTTTTACAAAATTTCATTTATTTACTAGTTGCCAAAATAATGAGTTGGTTTCCTACTCAAAAGTAGTGACCAAGGACTTTTTTTCTCTTTGAGGATTAGCAACTCACATATTTATGAATATTTGAAGTGTTTGAATCCATTGTAGTTCATATTTCTATTGATGCTCAAATTACTTCATCATTTCCTAGAGGGAGATCTCTTGACTTCTGAGTTTGAAGGCATGTCTTGACAATTTGGATAAACTACCTTATAATTGCCCTTCAGTTTCAGTGACCAAGTTTCATTTGTATTTATCCCAGTACATAGTAGTAATGCTTCAATTATTTTATTCTAACATCAAATGAAAGGAGATAAGCGAATAGACCTAAAATGTAAGTAATACATTTATGTCAAGTTGAGGTGAAAAAAATGCGCCATAACATGTTCTGGGATGCGGGGCTTATAGTATTTCAGATAGGGGAAATTGGGTGAAAATGGAGGCATCACTTGGTATGTATAGAGATAGTGATGCTAAACTCTTAGCACCTGTACCATTGGATTCTGTACCATAGTCTTGTGGGGAGCATTTACTTAGTTTCAGCAAAAAGACATCATCCATCATAGTAAATCTTAAATGAGTTTTATTAGTATTTTTTTCTTTGTTTAGTGTTTTTTTTTTGTTTTGTTTTTTGTTGCTTTGTTTTGTTTTTTCATTTAATTTCAAGTTGGGCCTGCTTTTTGCATCTAGTTAAGGGTTAAAATCCTAAAGAATATGGAACAACTTTCATAATATCATTATCTCTTTATCTCTTTGTTTTTGTGTTTTAAGAGTTATTGGCTTCATACATCATGATTAGATTTTGTGCAGTATCTCTTGTGTTACTCCTACTTGAAATGTAGATTTTAATTCTATTACATTTTTAGTTTTGTATCTTAGGATCTGTTTTTGCCATATTTGTAGGAGTAATTAAAAAATGTTTACCTTTTACCATTTACATTATAGTTCTTGGTTTTTATATATCAGCCTGTTTATCTGTTCAGTGGCTTATGATATCTTTTTAGAGTTTTAAAATGAGGTTGCCAAATAATTGGTCTAACCTTTTATAAATTTCCAACATTTGTTATTACTTCTAGATTTTAGGGTAATGTATCATTTGTCTTATTCTGTACTATTTTCCATATGGTTCCATGGTGGGGTTTTATTTTGTTTTTGTTACTAGGAAGTGTGTGTGTGTGTGTGAATGTGTGTATAAATTCATTTTATTCATCAGCTTTTAGTTACAGCTTAGGGTTAGCAAATAAGCCCACATAAAAAGGATGCTGGCAAGTTCTCCTTCTGGCATCAGTAGATAAGATTATTTGGGATCAACTCTCCTATTTGGAACAGTTAGAAAAGCAAAAAAAAAAAAAAAAAAAAAAAAAAAAAACAAGAGGTGGGCGCCTGGGTGGCTCAGTTAGTTGAGCATCTGACTCTTGATCTCAGCTCAGGTCATGATTCCAGGGTCATGGGATTGAGCCCCATATCAGGCTCTGCTCTGAGCATGGAGTCTGCTTAAGATTCTCTCCTTCTCTCCCTCCCTCCCCCTCTGCCCATTTGCCTTGCTCATGTGCTTGCTCTGTCTCTTCTATAATACCAAAAATGAAGTAAAAAATAATACTGTGACTGTGAATCTAGCAGAGAACAACCAAGGCTGCGGGGAACTTTATAGTCTAGGTCTGATAAAGCTCTGGCAAAAATGGAAGTCTAGAAGGAGTCCTGCATCTGGGACTCTTCTCTTAAGTTAGTAGCTGATTTCAAAAGAGATTGCTTAGAAGCAGAGAGGGTAGGATGAAAGCTATCAATAGACTGAAGAGGCCGGGGAGACCAAAACTAGAATTTAGGAATCTTCCAGCTTTCATTTGAGACCCCAAAGAGTGATAGTGTAGGAAAAATGATGAGGTGAAAATGAGAGAAGAGATGAACTGAAAAATAGACCAGCCCTGGTAGGAGCAGAAGCCCAGTTTTCAGTCATCTTGGTTCCTAACTAGATTAAGGTGGTTTCAGTTTCCTGGTGATTCTAGCCTGACTTTGTCCTAGAAGAAAAACCAAATCTCTTCTGAAGGAAGATGTCATCATCTAGAGTTTCAAATAATCTCCACAATTTTTCATATACAAGGTCTATGACATGATAATCAGGCATAAGAAAATACAAGAGGTGACTGAAAATCAAGGGAAAAAACAGACAATAGAAACATACATGCTAATATTAAAAAAAAAAAAATCTGATTAACCTGTTCAAGAAAGTAAAAGACAAGATTGAGGATTTTGACAAAGAATTGGAAACCCCAAAAAAAGAACCAAATGAAAATTACAGAAACTGAAAAATATAAGCAAATAAATAAAAACCAATCCTGTTGAGTATAGGTTAAATAGCTGTTTTTTACCAAAAAATGGCTGGAACTGATCCATGAATTCAGCAAAGTCGCAGTATATAAAATCAATGCACAGAAATCAGCTGCATTCCTATACACCAATAATGAAACAACAGAAAGAGAAATCAAGGAATAGATCTCATTTACAATTGAATTGGAAGATAGGCCAGCATAAGGTATCCAAAAAGAAAAATGGATGAATGAAAGAACCAAATAATTCAGAAAACGATGACATGGGATTTGGTAAAAAGATAGCTTGAATATATCTCAATTTTCAGAAGGAGAGGGAGGAGAGAAAGGGGCAGAAACAGTATTTGAAGAGATGATGGCTGAGAATTTATAACAGGGAAGATACTGAGGTACAGGTTCTATGATCTCTATGGGTCAAAGATGGGATAACTACAAGTAAAACTTCACATTGTCATATCACAGTAAAGACATTAACAATCATAGTCAAACAGAAAATCTTAATAACTAGAGCTTAAAAGGGCAGACAACTCACAAAAAGAGCAGTAATAAGAAACAGCAGCTGACTTTGCTTCTAAAAGGATAATGACATCAGGCTTCACTTGAAAGATGTGAATAATAAAGATAAACAAGAAAAAGTTAATAGAGCTGGTTCTGTCACTAACTTGTGTGATCTAAAGTCATTTTACATTTCCAGTCCATTTTTCATGTTATAGTTTAGATTTGAGCTTCTTAACATGGTTTTACTTTATTTGGAGCTTACCTTAGGTTATTGATACACTGTTTTGTGTTCACTGTGTAAATACTTTGGTCTACTTACATGTTAGATTTAATGTTACTTATGTATAAATTACTCTCAAGGTCGACCTTGTTTTCCTGGGCCTCACCTGTTTATTTCTCTGGATTAATAGGCTGGGTTCTATAGCTAGTGAATGCACAGGCAGGATGGTTTGGGTATGTAGATCTCAATTTAGAGAAGTAGGGGACAGAGGTGTGGAAAATTAGCCCCCCCCCCCGCCGAAATGAGAACATTAAAGGTACATTCTTGAAATTTTATTTCTTTTAATCCAGAATTTTAACCTTGGTTTTCTAGCAGAGCTAAAGCCAGATAACCAAAAATGAAAGGGTTTACGCTCATTTGTGATTCATATTCTTGTGTTTCATCTTGTGCTTTCCCTTCAATGGAGGCTACCTTTTTTTCTGCACAGTTCCCCAAGGAGACAACTCGTTTTCTTCATAAGTGATGTTCTACTCTTTAATTCTGGCTGAATTTAGGAAACCCTCTCCTCTCAATCAGTTTTTTTGACATTCTCTTTAAAGAGTTATGGGTGACTTGTTCTATGGATCAGTTCATTATTAATATTATGTTTTATTTATCCTTGGATAGGATGCCTAGACTTTCAGGTTCTGAATTCCTAGCAATTCAGGGTATGTGGATTTTCTTCAGCTTTAATCTCTGTTCCCTTGGGTTTCATTTGAAACCTCTTTTCAGGTCTGTAGCTGGGTACAGCTCTGGACATTATTCTTTGTATTTGGTGTCTTTTTATTTAATACAGCCTTTTAGGTCAAAAAGATGTTTTCTTATAACCCCTGTTGGCTGACTCCCTAATAATCTGAAGAGAGCATTTGGACAACTGTAATCCCTAGTATGTATTAACAATTTGACATCTGACCACATAGTTTTCTGGGATTTGAAGTCTTTGAATCAAGAATTTAAAAAATGTCCTGATACACAATTGGACAGTGCACATGATTTTAATAGAAGCAGTCACTCTAAGAGCTGGTCAGTTTCCTGTTTGTTACAGATCTGGGGCTTCTAAAGGAATGTTTACAAGAGAGGAAGACTCTCCTTTCAGACACATTGGCCTTCTTATGTTTCTAAGCATGGGTGGCACATACATTAAACATTTTATCTGGAGACATCTCTTTCACATTCTGCTAATAGAAAGATGGAATAGGTAGCAACAGATGTTATTTAAAACCAGATGTTAGAATTGGCTCTAGAATATTTATGTTTACTATGTTTCTATTTCCTAACATAACTTACTTCAAATTTTTTTCGGATATAAAGTCTCTTTGGAAAGTCAGATTTTTCTGAAATAGCTTTAAAAATCTCTTGTCTGTTTGTATTTGGAGTTGTTTAAAGAGAATAAATTTTCCTTCACTATATTCTTTAATTTAGTTAAAAGAAAGCTTGGAACAATCAATAGGCCAATTGCGGAGTCAGCGTTTATTGAGAAACTCAGGAGGGAGAAGTATTTCTGTTACAAGTCTGAGTGCAAGTGACCTCGATGGTGGCACTGTGACAGGTAAACTCTTCAGAGATGTTTTGAAACCCCCCCTCCCCCCTTTTGTTTTGTTTTGTTTTTTTTGTTTTACAGATATTTCTGAAGTACATATTGAATGCATTTAATCTTTGGAGAAATAGAACCCATACATAAAATCATACAAATGATGTTTAGAAGATGCAGTTGTCAGTTATTTTATGGTGCCTAATTTGAAGTGTGTTCAGTGAGACTTTGTTACTCTATTACTTTTGTTCTCAGACTCGGTAGACCACAGAGGGTTTTACCTGACAAAACTTGGATTTAATTGTCTGCTTCTAATCAAAAGCAACACACAAATAGGATTTACTGTGTGTTATACTTTCTCGATTAGAAGTCTTGTCCCAGCTTCACAGTTTTTCAAAGTCTGATTAAGAAATATCCTATGACACTTGTTAAAAACAGGTGAATTTTATCTTTGGTGTGCAGCTAGATTTCAATGGCTAGATTAAAGCTGATAACACTTGGTTTGCCTGTAGTTAATCCTACTTAATACTTTCCTACAGCACTGAGATCACATATGAATAGAAAAGTATGCAGTGAAGAGAGGTGATTTAGATAGAAGTGAATATTAGCAAGTTGCATTGTTAATAATGCTATTGATCATGATAATAAGGATTAAAAATTGGACACAACCAGCTAATCTTTTTCATGTAGTTTTTATTGATTTTTAAACTATGTTCAGATTTTAGATTACTTTGTTGGAAAAATTCTGTTTTATTGGTATTAAGTTATATTTTAGAGAGAGAAGTTATTTTTATTTTCCAATTTATTATTTTTAAAAGAATATATTGCTTCTTTGAAAAGTATAGCAAATTAGAACTTTTGATATTTTCTTTTTTTTTTTTTTTT